TATACAGAGTACTAAGAGCGTCACTTACTCTTAACGTACTTTTTCTATGATGTTCTTGCGTCAGATTATAGAAACTAAGTCGGTTAAGACTGCCTTTTCGCATTTTTTGATTATCAGCTGTATAATAAAACGATAAAGTTTCCAAGATTGAGTACGTTAACCTGCCGATGTGTATACAATATTTACAGGTAATCTTACCTTGACTAGATAATGTTTGCTCCAACAACTGAACTCCGTCTTCATAACCTGAGCACAAAATGATTATCATTATAGTCATTAAGTAACGTCGCGCGAACAAATTATCATGTACGACTTCAAAGCATATCGTAATGAAAACGCACAAATGTTTGCGGCTACAAACACAATCATTTATCTTAATTTAAATGTTGCCATGCCAATTTTGGGACATATCTACAGAGATTAGAGGATTTTAATATCATAACGCTTGTTACCGATGTAGTATGTCTAGTTTGTTGTAATTATATACATGTTATTCTAAAAATAACACACAATACCAGACTCCATGCTCATTTCTGTGAAACATCCTTAAACAGGATTAAAATAAGAATTGAGTCAGTTTTTTATTCCAACTAATTGGGTACTTGCACACTAGTCGAATTCAATACTTTTTTCGAACTGTCAAAAACGATAGTTTTCTATGACTTTTGTATGTGATTATGTATTGTGACGTCACTTCGTCACACGTCACAACGACGACGACCATGTTTTTGCGTTAAATAACATACTTATTTATTAAACATTTTGCTAAATAATACTAAAATTAAGTTGGTTATAAAATCAATTAATGAAAGCGTGAATATTTATTAATATTTCATTGGATTGATAGTCGAAATAACTTATTTTTGATTAAGGAAGTACCCAATTCTAATCTAACTGCTTGTTTGGAATATTGTACCTTGTTGGCAAACCGCAGCGAATACACTGAAGAAGGCATACAGTCCTGGCTTGGGTCTGTTCTCCATGCGAGCCGCGGCTGCCAGGACCAGCGTGCAGGCGATGCCGGCGAAGAAGGCACAACACCAGACTCCGTAGGACAACGGAGTAAGGAACCTGTTCTCATACTGGCCTACACCTGTCTCCGGTATCAGGTAGTAGAATTTGGTCCTAGGTAATATAGCAAGGATAAAATGGTTCTTCTTTCAAAAAACAGCAGCTTAAATGAAGCTGGTGATAAATATGCTTACTGGAGATTAGTAGTTGGTGGGTGGTAAATATCGACCCAATTGAGCCACTTGGGGAAGATTCTAGCACAGGTGCTGGACAGGTCCTGCTCCTCCCAGAACAGAGTGTTGGTGACAGCCTGGACAAACATATAGATATTACTATACTAACATAATCTAAGCTAATAATCATGAAAATAAGTTAGAGTAATGTCACCATTGTGGAATTTCTCTCCGGAGACCCGATCCATCTGCCTGCGATACTATAATTGAACCTGTGGAATACGTGGAACGAATTAGCTATGATTTCACGTTTACCTATAGACGGTATATCAGTGTAACCGTTCGTATGAATATACCAGTGCATCAACCTAGATAGATTTTGAACCTTAATACAATACAGTTGACGTAGAAAATCACAAATATATTGGATCAGGTTGACTTGTTGGTGTCTATATTTAACACTGACCTGAAATTGTGTCGTTCTTTGATAGTGTTGAGCATCTGCGAAGTGATCTTGGTCATGGCAGCCACTCCTGCAGTGTACGTCATCTCTGATAACATCTCCGGGTAGAACACCTTCGGCTGGTCAACTATCTGAATAGATGGTGTAAAGATAGAATTGGGATGTTTCCATAGTTAAATAAATTGCAATTATGATCAATTGTAATGAATACTAATCTACATAATAAATAAAAGGGACTAATACCATCAATAGTGAAAAGTGGGTTTTAACTCTGTGTGCGCCTCTGCCTGTCCCTTCGGCGATAAAGGCGTGATGTTATGTATGTATGAATGTAATGAGTAACTAGGTATAACTACTTACCACAGAAATTGCTCTCAGCGTCAAATTATGAAAATCCCAGCGATTGTAATACTTGTAGCCTTTCAGTATAATCTCTAATCCTGAAAATTGATTTAACTATTTTTTAATATTTTTTATTGTTTTTCTTGATTAATCAATGCTTCCTTTATTCTGCAAACAGTGGTTAATAAATCCTGATTTAATGAATTCTAAATAAATATTTAATTCTATACGTAAATATTAAAACTTTAATGCTAATGAAATATTGTACCTTGATCCGGTTGCCAGGTTCCAAGTAGAGCTGTTTCCAAGTCGTTTCCTTGTATTCTGCCAAAGTTGTAAACGTCGATTATCGCGAAGGAATCACCTGAAAAAAAGATTTTAAGAAACCATTCATGGAGCAACACATTATTTATTTAAACTTGACGGTTAGACAGTTACCCCTATTTGCGACGACAGCGACATCTGCGTTGACACTCAAGTTAAGCCACTGGAATGTCTGCATGACATATTCCGTGCAGTTGTCATCTTCAAAGTCGGTCAGTACGAGCCAGGAATGCACCGCGTCGAATAATTTGTTGAACGAAGCCTAGTGAGAACAAAAAGTTTTTTTTTAATAAAAATCTATATCTTTATTTCAGAATAAAAGCTTTAATCTCGTCTAGTCTTCTTCATTCGAATTACCTGGTTCATCAATGTCTGCGTCTGATTGCAATGTCCATCAACTAGGACTCCAACAGATATAGTCGTCTGATGTGCAACCCTCACTACGTCTACATTGTCATCTCCATCAATACGTCTTACAGACACTCGTACATTGTCTTTTGTTAATTTTTGTACTAACATGTTGTTATCTGTAAAAGATATCATTGGTAATAAAAAAGATTTTGTGAACAGTTCAACATTTCAACACCAAAATTCTAAACACCTTATTCGATACCGAAATTGATAATATTTATATTGTATTTAAAAACGTTTTTCTGACGGACTTGTAATAAAAATATTTTGTAACAAATAAATACACTTACAATAATTACTTTCACACGTAAAATAGCAGACATATTTCAAATCTTTATACAACACGTAGTCGGTAACAAAATGAACTACATCGAGATTAAACCCGAATATAGTTAAGAAAAGGCTGCACAACATACTAAGTACGATCATTTTGCCAAGTGTTGGGTCCGTAGTGGCGGCAGTCAGATGTGCATCATTCGACAGTATCGCGTTTTAGTAATAGTTTGCAATTTCACCTGTCCATCAAATTCAACGTCACTTCGACTTGATACACACTGACATTGATGATTGAGTGAGGCTAACTCCACATGCAACACATTACATTTTGCAAAATCCATTGTTAAGGAATGGTAATATGTTTTTACACTCATCATTGACTTTTTGTTAAAAAATATATTTTAGTTGATTGTATGACTTCATTAAAATTCTTGATCTAGCATACGTCGAAATAGCATACGTTGAGTATACGTCGAAATGCAATGAATTAGCAAAAAAAAGATTGCCAGGTGTTTTATGTAACACAGTATTAAACTGTCAAACACCAAGCGGTTACCGGTGACCGCAACCTATTGTTCTATAATTGTATCTACAAAGACGGTACTCGACGAGTTAAACCAAACGTGAAGCTTACATCCAGTAAATAGTTATCAATCAGCGTCATCACTTACCTCAGGGTAGATGGAGGTCAAGCGTCGACTACATAATAAAAAAAAGAATTAAAATAAAACAATGAAATATAAGTAAAATAAAACAAACAACGCGCGTGGTCCTGTCTCAGTAATTATTTTAACACATCAACATTATTGCAGGCTGAGTGCACATTGACGTTGCTCTTGTATACCGATTCTGTTACGTGATCGAGGTTTCAGCAATCATGACCTGACTATAACATTAAACCGTACTTAATTATTGAACTGTAATATATGTAACCAGAAAATAAAAATATTACAGGTGTTTATTTATAACCTCGTGTTATTAGAACGATGTTAAAGAGATCAGAGTGGAGCGTGTTGTAATGTAATGAGCGCAAAACTGTACCAATATAAGTCATTAATGTGTATCTGTTAATGGTGCATTTAGAAAGAAAACATTAATAATTAAGGTACATACTCCACGTTGCAATAGAAACCACATTAACATGTTCAGGAAGGAAGCAGAAACGTTGGCTGTCTTTTAAACTGCACCCAATCTCCTCGACTACTTTTAAAACATTTCATTTCACAAGATTACGTAAAATTCTTACATACGCTTGTGAAGCACTTTAATTAAGTCGGGAGACATTTATGTGGGCACAGCTCAGTTGTGACACAGTATTGTCTGTGCTTATCTCCAAATTATTAGCACAATCTGACCTTTGCTCAGGTGGGCGACAGTTGCGGGTAATTCGACCAAAGCCGGGATCTACCGGAGTTAAGGATGTATTACGTGTTGATATCTACGAGCCCCGTGTTAACAACTTCTTACGTACCTGAGTACATTCTATTTTATGTTTCCTATTAATCTTATAATATCTATAATAGTTAGCTTGTAATGTAAAAAATCTTTCTAGGCTCTCGTTAGAACTGAGTTTATTATGGCTCCATTCCTTTTATCGTTATCATCGATTTATTGTAAACGTGTGATGAACAAGGGTAGATTTTATTCGTGTATAAATATTGAATCGGTTTTATTCCCTACTTCTCGATATGATCCTTAATAAATTTGCGATGAAAATCATGGCTCCGTCCAGCAGTATATGGGCCGTACATTGTGCAAACGGCCGTACCCGATGTTATTATAGAATTCAGTTTGCGGAACAGTTGCGATTATACAAATTGCCTCAATTACGGCGTCGTATGAATATTTAACCCCTTGACCTTTTAACCCTCGCCAGGTAATGGGATGTACGGTGCTTTCATCTTTTTATGTGTATTGATAGCGGAATTAAACAATTCTTTAGAGCCGGCGATATCACTAGAATTATAATTACTGTTGGCATTTACTTTTATACATCGTATAATATGTTTATTGGGAGTACCTTGCCTGGTTAAGTTAAGGGCTTTACTAATATTATTGTTACAAAAACTATAGAGGGAAATAAAATGATATTGAGGTATAATTATATGCGGCATCCCTGAATTGTTTTAGCCGCGGATCAACCAGGGAGTTCTTCGTTTGTGAATAATTCAATAAAAGTTAAAATTGTATCCATTTTTGTTGGAGTGAGCTTCTAAGAGTGTCTTGTTAACTGGCTTACTTAGGCCATTACTAGGGAATTATTGAAAGAAATTGTTCCCCCCGGGACAAAGTGATCTGACACGGAAAAGTCAGCTCTAAGCGTATACGGGCTCAATAAAAATAATGGCGGTTTTCCTTTATCAACAGAGTTTGACTTTGGAGAAAAATGGTTCGGCTTTTTATGGTTTCTGCCCTAATAATGTACCCCGTGTTGCTCCATTAGCTACTAATTAGGAGCGAACGTATCTTTTGAGTTGAGCCGCGCTTTAAAATTCATATTAAGGGTTTTGTTCTTAATTCAGAGTTACCGTAGACAGGGTTGTAAGACGGCGAGCGACACCATCATAATGTAAATATTATATTAACGTGGACGGCGCAACTTTACACAATGCGTTTCAGTGAAATCACAATGTTGTCTTTTAAAGCATTTATACACGAATGAGTATTTGAGTAGTAATGAGTACTTGTTATACTCTTGTGTCGGGGTGCGGTGCCAGAAGACCTCCCCGTGGTGCACCCTGGGTGCGGGCGACAGTCTCCCTAGCGGGGGTGATAGGGTTGGAGTGACTGTCGCCCGCAGCAGACTTCTGGACTGGGCGGGCGAACCCGATAGGGTTCTGGAGGCGGCGGGCTGTGTGCTCATGGCCCGCGCTTCCGTGGGGCGTTTCTCCGCC